AATCAAAAAATATCCAATCAAATATATAATAATTTATTTATATTTTTATTAATTTAAATTTTATTAATTTAATATTATTAATTCTTAGATAATTTAGTAAAAGCTTTTTTTAAATCTGAAACACTTTCGGATATTTATCAATCATTGAATAACATTGATAAATTGCAAATACTTATTGCAAAAGCTTATAAAAATTTACACACCTATAGTTAAGGAATATTGGGTGTTTTCTATGCTGCTAAAAGTAATCATCCTGAATTAAAAAACTATATTCAACGAATTGGTAAGTTTAAATTTTTATAATTTTATTTTATTTATATATCTATATAAAATAATTAACTTTTAACAATTTAGAGTGGTTAAATACCAATTTAATATTGATTATTTGTATGCTAAAAAAACATGCCAAATTATTACTTAATTTAAAAAGTTTCCAAATTGATTTGTCTTTCAAATGTGTTAAGGGTGATATAAATGAATTTGAAATTAATACATATGACGAAAGACATAAATTAGGTATGTATATAAATTTAATATATAATAAATTGTTAATATACTATTTTAAAATTTTGATTTATATTATTCATTAATTTTTTAGTGATGAGTTTTTGTCGAATATATACAAATGTGTCCTTAGCTAATGATTATAAAAAATTATTTGGCACATTATTCAATATAATTCAGAAGCTTACTAATGAAACTTAATGTGTATACCATATATATGGAACAGTTTGGAAATGTATAATAGGTGATTTAGATATTGGGCAAGCAAAAGGATTAGGTCTTGCTCGAATAAGATATATCAAAGGATTGAGAAATGCATTTGATGCATATTTTTAAATCATGTACTATACATTTTCAATAGTTAGTAAATTATAAAATTTATAAATATTTTTTATTTAAATAATTTAATTTTTATTTTATATTACAGAAATTTATTTAATAAACATTTTTTCTAAAAAAAAATTATAATTTGGCAATGTCTATTATTAATGCGCCCTCACAAAAATCAGTTGAATTTATTTTAAATGAAATTGAAGATTTGAATGAACCTAATGCAAAAGGTAAACTAAATAAATAAAATCTTATATTAAATAAATAAATATACATTTTAGTAATTTGAACTAATTTTGTAACTAATTTAATTATTTAGAGTGGGTAAAATATTATAAAACACCCTGAATTATTTCATCTTTAAATATAAATATGTTAAGGATAGAATGCTATATTTGAAGAAAATATGAAAATAACACCAATATGGCAGAAGCAGCACATACTTTAATTAACAAAGAAGAAAAACAATTAAAATTAATGTCAGCTATCTTATGGTAATTTATTTAAATTATTTTATTTAAATATTAATCATTATTATTATTTGTACATATTATTTTTATACTTATTAATTAAATTTTTTTAGTAGAAAACATTATGATGAAAGGCTATTAAAAGTTAAAGAAACTCATAATAATTCAGAAATACTATATTCATGGAATGACAAAAGTAAAGTCAAAAGGCAACAAAATAAATTAAATCATAAAGGTAAATATTATCATTATTATTTTATTATATACTTTTAAATTATACAATTTAATTTTTTAATTATAGTTACAAGGTCTAAAAAAAATAAATCTAAACAAAAATCAAATAAAAGAAAATTATCGCCTATTAATACTCATGAAAAAAAATGCATTGTAATATTAATAACCAAGTAACAGATAAAAAAATAGTAGAAATAGAATCAGATACAGATGAAAGTAATGAAATTCAAATGAATATATCTGCAAACATAGAATTAGAAGAAAGAAAATGGCTTTATTAGAATACAAAATGAAGCTTAGAAAAGAAGCTGCAGAAGTTGAAGCAATTAAGTCACAAAATCAACAACTAAAAAAGAATATGGAATTAGTTTAGATTTATTTATACATATAATCTAAACATATATAGCAACAATTGATTACTTTGCATAGTATATAAATTTATTTGTGAAATGTAAATATGCTTTATAACAATAGTATTAAAGTATATTGTAAATGCTAAATATGCGGTAAGAATTATAAATTTAATATTTTTTTATTGAGTATATACGCATAAAATTTTCAAACGTACTTGTACGAAAAAATTTATTTTGTATAAGCATACGTACTATCAAAATTTATATATGTCCATACTAACTTGCATTACCGTACTGTACTACTTTACTTACTACCTGTTATGCTAACGTACCGTACGTATATACATATATACATACATACTGTACTATTATTAAAAATATAAAAAAATTCTATATGTATTCTTTGTAATATTATATATCACACTCTATCAAATTATTAATAACAGTGGTAAAATAACTATAAAATTTTTAGACCAGCTTTCACAAGATTTTACCCAACTTCTTGAAAGTGAATATGGTTATGATGTGATAATTGAAGTTGAGAAACAACTGCATATTCATCTTTTTAAAGTGCACTCAGTAATATTATACCAACATTTACTGTATTTTTGTCAGAAATTAGCAAATATAATTAAGAAAAATAATGTTATTGAAATTAAATTGCCTAATGTTTCTGCTAAAGTATTTAATACTGTTATTAAGTAAGTTAAAATTATAACAGTAAATATCTTATCATGAAATACTCATTTATATATTATTCTATATAGATACATTTATGGTGATATAATTGTTTCGAAAAATCTTAATTCCTTGACAATACTTAATCTATTGATATGTGTTAATTAACTTATGCTCCCAGAACTAATCAAGCATTTTCAGTCTCTCCTTATCGATAGTAATGCTTCTTGGCTTCACTTAAATTTTTCTCATGCTTATTAGATAAGCTTTCTTAGTAAAAATTTTAAAGTTTTGCAACAGTTCTATAATGACATTCTTGCAAGGCATCTGAATATGATTTTTAATTCTGAGAATTTCACTGCTCTTCAAAAAAATGCTTTAATTACTCTTTTAAAAAATGAAGAATTACAAATGAATAAACTTGAAATTTGGAATAAACTTATTCTATAGGGAAAAGTAAAAATGCCAAATTTACCACCTGACCTTAAGGAATGGACAAACAAAAATTTTAAGGCTTTAAGAGTTACTCTTCAAAACTGTCTTCCTTATATTAGATATTTTTAAATTTCTGGTGAAGCTATCTTAAAGAAAATCAAACTCTATAGAAATATTCTTGATGAGAATGTGTAGAATAATATGGGCTGCCGTCAATAGAAATAAGGCAAATTGACATTTTAAAAAAAATTAAAGTCTTAACTTTCACAGCACATATCTCGATGAATTTTAAAGCTATCTTAATAAATTTCTATTCAAATGAAAGCTTATATCTTAAGCTTTATTTTGAATATAAATTTATTAAAAAAGCTTTAAACTTTATTGAGATATGAGCTGTGAAAGTTAAGGCTTTAAATTTTTTTAAAATGTTAATTTGCCTTTTTCTATTGATGGCAGCCCATATTATATTAAAATTTGTAGCTCCAAATATGCCTATTACATCTCTAATTTTACCTCCTCGTAAAAGTATAAATGATATACAACTATATAGATATTTCATTCAGAACAAAAAATATGATTTGGTTTTTCTTTTTTCAATAGATATTATGGGTCAGATTGATAAATTCAGGAGATTGTATGAAGAAGATTTAGTAATATTAGAAGAAAAGAGAGAACTAAAGGCTACTATAATTGATGAATATATAGAAAAATTTTCTGCAATATCATGTTAGCAGTTCTAATACTAAAATCATCGCAATTAATTGAATCTGCTGAATTATATTTTAAGGATGTTTTATCAGTTTTTTTACTAACAAATAACAACAGTGAATTCTTATCTTAGATTATCAGGCATAATATGAGACAACAAATACCAAATCCTTTTAGACTTCATATATATTGGTGGAGTAATTCTGAAATTATGTTAACTGAATTGCAACTGTCAAGATTATATCCTACAGTAATTGAAATGATATTGAACTTTGATCAATATTTATTAGAATAAATTTCAAAACTGATGATAGAAAAGCTTTTTACAATTGATATAAATGACATAAATGACTATATAAAAAATCAACTTTTGATATAGCAACATGATACAGCATATATTTTATCCTTGTCAAGCAAATTACCTAATTCTTTTGATAACCTAGCTGCTCATAAGTTACAAATATACAATGATCTTTCAAAATCTCTCGAATTGCAAAAACTTATTGAAATTCAAAATCTTGAAAAAAATAATGATGGTGATGAAAACGATGAAAAAATATTTTCAAAACAATTTGTAAATATAGTATTTAAAAAGCTGTATGAGTTACAACTAACAGAAGATAATTTATTATTACAATGATCATTTACAAATAAGTGTTTAAATACGTTATCACTTGCATCACCTATTCATTTTTAAAGATATTTAATTTTGCCTAATCAATTTTGCTATATAAGGATATGCAGAGTAATGATTGTGAACTAGATTGTAACAACTTTTTTCTGCATATAGATTAGGTTATGTCTTTTTTTTATAATTTGTGTTATTTTTGTGCAGAGATCTACAGCCAAAATTTCCTTGCAATGCCAGGAAAAGAAATTTTTGTCAAGCCTTTTTTATAAGATATTAATATTGCAATAGCAAATTGCAAGTGCAAGTGCAATTGCTATTGCTATTTCATTCCACTTGGATATTAAAAAAACAAAATGCAAAAATTTAGCTATATCAATCACGAAATAATAGCAAAAAATAGTTTAACATTTTTCTATATTTATAAAATATATTTTTGCTTTTTCTTTTCAATTTATTCGTGAACTTTTTACTAGGAAGATGAATTGATACTGCTACTAAATAACTATGTCATGCTTCTTTGAATTGTCATCTTAACAGCATATCTTTGCAGATAAGGTTAAGCACATATTACTAACTATTTTTAGCAAATAGTGAAAGACAAAACTAAACTTGGTGAAGGATGAAACTGACAAAACTCTGGTGAAACAGCAAAACTTTGACGAAATGACAAAACTCTGGTGAAACTCCTGGAGTAATCAAAGACCAAATCCTTTAAAACTTAAAAAAGAATAAACTATATTAATAAATCAAAATATTTTGTATGTAGTATGTAGCTTATATAAAAAATATACAAAAACAATAAGGTGATAGCTTTTTGTTTATATTTAAATAATATTAAAAGAAAATTAGATTTCAGGTTTTTGAGCTTATAATTAAATAAACTCAGCTGTATAAAATAAATCTATCTAAATATTTAAACAAATTTTATTATTATATTATTAAGATTTTTTCTTTTTAACACTTTGTTGTTAAAACTTTGAAAACTATACATGTATATGTAATTTGTTAATATTATTATTACTAACAATTATTTTCTAATTCTTTATTTTATCTAGCCTTAAATCTCAAGGCTAACTTTAAGGAAAAAATTATTATTAGACTATAATATATCAAATATAAAATTTAGATCATTGATTAAAAAGCATTGTGCATAATTATACATGTTATATATCAAATTAAATTTGTATTTGTAAATACTAGAGTTGGTATAAGAGTAGAGATGTGCAAATCACTGTTTTTTCAAAATTCTGTATATCACACATGTTACATATCCTGTATAGGATTCATTAAACCTAGATGCCATGATTAATCCTTAATTTTGATTGGCCAATGGCTGTAATTGACAAAATTCTGGCCTGCATTATATATAATTTTTGCCAAAATTTAATTTTTGATTTTTTAATTGCAAAAATAGAAAAAAATTTTAAAGCTTGGATCTGTATAAAAATTTTATGTTATGGAAACCGATTTATTAAGTTTGTATGGACTTACTGATTTCAATATTTTTTTTTGATTTTTAGATTAGACAAAATTTGCGCATTTATCATTTGAAAAATTTGATTGAATATTTTAATGCCCATCTTTCTGCAAATACAGCAAGACCTCCCTAAGTGCACACTCTATAAGTGCACGCACTATATAAATTCGCTCCAAATGCACAGCATAGCTTGACCCCAACTTAGAAGAGCATTAAATATTTTGCTCTCTATAAATGCACTCTCTCCTTAAGTACACGTTTTGCTTTTTTTGACTATGGTCCCGAGAGGGGCACTTAGGGAGGTCTTACTTTATATTACAAAATGATGAATATGCAACTTTGATTTCTATAAAAAATAATAAAATTTTTACAAAATAATAGATGCGCAAATTTTGCCTATCTAAAAGTCAAAAAAATGTTGAAATCATTAATCGGATATTAGTATATTATTTAAAATAAAATAAATAAATGTTTAGCAGCAAAATAAATACAGTATTAAAGAATACTGTGAAGTTTAATGTGCATTTTTTGCATTAATTTAATAATAATAACTTGGTTTTGGCATTGAAAAATTATAATTTACTAATAATCAAGTTATTGATTAATACAGTAAATTTGTTTTTCTTTACTATACAATAATTAGCAATTCAAGATTTAATTTGACAATTAAATCTTTAACACAATATGTAATAACGCTGAATTCTACAATAGAGTAAAAAATTGTTATTCATTAAATATAGTACTAAAATGAACCATTTAAAAAAAGATAATTACTAATTTGCACCACAGGTGATAATCACCTATAAAAAAAAAATAAATAAAAAAAGAAAATAAAACTAAGTTAATAAGCAATAGTAATTCTCTTGTGAATATTTTAAATTTATTAAAATGAATAAAGTAACTAAATTAGCACAAAAAAAATAATGTTTACAACAAGAGACAAAATGAATATTTCAACTAACAAATTCAAGATCTCTGCAAATATTATTTTTGTTAGTGAGAATAATATGATATATTGAAATTCTGAATCTTTCTTTACACTTAGAGGTAAATTCTCCTTCATTGGAAACCACCACAACACCAATGGTCCCTTTTGGTTGTTGGGTGAGAGTTCTATCCAATGATTACACAATGGAAAGGACTGCAATTATTAAGTTTATAAATATATATTCAAATAAACTACAGTTTTACTCCTTTATAATCACTTCCTATATAATCACAACTTCTATACAATCACATTAATTTTTGAGACAATTTACTAAAAAACTTATAAAAAAAGCTTTTATATAATTACACTATTTTATAATCATTAATTTTTTTGATACAAACTGTGTGATTATAGAGGAGGAAGACTGTATATAGTGAAATTTTTTGTGAATGTACTTATTAGATTTAGAACTAGCAGATATATTAAGTATATGCAAATTATAATTTAGTTTCAAATCAAAACAAAAAACTTCATCAGTCATACCTCTTAAT